GAGGCCACACCTTAGTAAGCACTTCCCACTATTGTTATGACAGATGCAAGGCCATACCTTACTAAGCACTTCCCACTATTGTTATGACAGATGGAAGGTTATACCTTACTAAGCATTTCCCAATATTGTTATGACAGATGGAAGACCATACCTTACTAAGCACTTCCCACTATTGTTATTACAGATGGAAAGATATAACTTACTAAGCATTGCCCACTATTGTTATGACAGATGGAAGGCCATACCTTACTAAGCAGTTCCCACTATTGTTATGAGAGATGGAAGGCCATACCTAACTAAGTACTTCCCACTATTGTTATGACAGATGTAAGGCCATACCTAACTAAGCACTTCCCACTATTGTTATGACAGATGGAAAGATATAACTTACTAAGCATTGCCCACTATTGTTATGACAGATGGAAGGCCATACCTTACTAAGCAGTTCCCACTATTGTTATGAGAGATGGAAAGCTATACCTCATTAAGCATTGCCCACTATTGTTGTGACAGACGAAAGGCCACACCTTACTAAACACTTCCCACTATTGTTATAACAGATGAAAGGCTATGCCTTACTATGCATTTCCCAATATTGTTATGACAGATGGAAGGCCATACCTTACTAAGCATTTCCCACTATTGTTATGACAGATGGAAGGCCATACCTTACTAAGCATTTCCCACTATTGTTATGACAGATGGAAGGCCATACCGTACTAAGCATTTCCCACTATTGTTATGACAGATGAAAGGCCATACCTTACTAAGCATTTCCCACTATTGTTATGACAGATGGAAGGCCATACCTTACTAAGAACTTCCAACTATTGTTATGACATATGGAAGGCCATACCTAACTAAGCACTTCCCACTATTGTTATGACAGATGGAAGGCTATCCCTTACTAAGCACTTCCCACTATTGTTATGACAGAAGGAAGGTTATACCTTACTAAGCATTGCCCACTATTATTATGACAGATGGAAGGCTATGCCTTACTAAGCATTTCCCACTATTGTTATGACAGATGGAAGGCTATGCCTTACTAAGCATTTCCCACTATTGTTATGACAGATGAAAGGCCATACCTTACTAAGCACTTCCCACTATTGTTATGACAGATGAAAGGCCATACCTTACTAAGCACTTCCCACTATTGTTATAACAGATGAAAGGACATATCTTACTAAGCACTTCCCACTATTGTTATGGCAGATGGAAGGTCATACCTTAGTAAGCACTTCCCACTATTGTTATGGCAGATGGAAGGCTATGCCTTACTAAGCATTTCCCACTATTGTTATGACAAATAGAAGGCTATACCTTATTAAGTATTTCCCACTATTGTTATGACAGATGGAAGCCATACCTAACTAAGTACTTCCCACTATTGTTATGACAGATGTAAGGCCATACCTAACTAAGCATTCCCAATATTGTTATGACAGATGGAAGCCATACCTTACTAAGCATTTCCCACTATTGTTATGACAGATGAAAGGCTATGCATTACTAAGCATTGCCCACTATTGTTATGACAGATGG